GCCCGGCCCAGCCCGGCCCGCAGGCGGGACGTGTTGAACACGAAGAACAGACTGCGGGGGGTGGGGAGCCAGCGCTGCGCCTCACCTGCGGGACAGCGGGGACAGCGTGGGGACAGTGGGGACAGGATTGGGGACAGCGGGGACAGGATTGGGGACAGCGGGGACAGCGCTGGGACAGCACTGGGACAGCGGGGACAGCGGGGACAGCATGGGGACAGCATTGGGACAGCGGGGACAGCGTGGGGACAATACTGGGGACAGCACTGGGACAGCGGGGACAGCGGGGACAGCGCTGGGACAGCACGGGGACAGGATTGGGACAGTGGGGACAGCGTGGGGACAATACTGGGGACAGCACTGGGGACAGTGGGGGGACAGCGGGGACAGGATTGGGGACAGGATTGGGGACAGCGCTGGGACAGCGGGGACAGCGCGGGGACAGGATTGGGGACAGCGGGGACAGGATTGGGGACAGGATTGGGACAGCGGGGACAGCTCAGGGACAGGATTGGGGACAGCGCGGGGACAGCGCTGGGGACAGTGGGGACAGCATTGGGACAGCGGGGACAGGATTGGGGACAGGATTGGGGACAGGATTGGGACAGCGCAGGGACAGCATTGGGGACAGCGCGGGGACAGCGCTGGGACAGGATTGGGGACAGGATTGGGACAGTGGGGACAGCGTGGGGACAGTGGGGACAGGATTGGGACAGCATTGGGGACAGGATTGGGACAGCGCTGGGACAGCATTGGGGACAGCGGGGACAGGATTGGGACAGTGGGGACAGGATTGGGGACAGGATTGGGACAGTGGGGACATTGGGGGAATTGAGGACACTGGGGGGACATTGGGGGGGTTGGGGACATCGGGGACACTGGGGACATCCAGGGCCATGGGGAGCACTGGGGACATTTGGGGACATTGAGGGACTGGGGACACAGAGGGGTCACAGAGGGGACACCAGGCCACTGGAGGCCACCTCAGGGTCACCCAGGGGTCACCAGGAGGTCACCGAGGAGTCACCGTGGGGTCACCCAGGGGTCACCGTGTCCAGCTGTCCCTCAATGTCCCCATGTCACCCCAGGTGTCCCCGTGTCCCTCACCGTCCCCGGGGCTCTCCATGGGGAAGCGCAGCAGCTCCTTGGCGGGTCAGTCCTGCGGCTGCTCGGGCTGCTCCATGTCCCCGTGTCCCTCCATGTCCCTGTGTCCCTCTGACACCCCCGTGTCCCCAGGTGTCCCAGTTGTCCCCAGGTGTCCCCAGGTGTCCCAGTTGTCCCCAGTTGTCCCTAGGTGTCCCCAGGTGTCCCCAGTTATCCCCAGGTGTCCCCCCGTGTCCCCAGCTGTCCCCAAATGTCCCCAGTTGTCCCCAGGTGTCCCCCCGTGTCCCTAGGTGTCCCAGTTGTCCCCAGGTGTCCCAGGTGTCCCCAGGTGTCCCCGGTGTCCCAGGTGTCCCCAGGTGTCCCTCACCCTCCCCGGGGCTCTCCATGGGGAAGCGCAGCAGCTCCTTGGCGTGGCTGTCCTGCGGCTGCTCGGGCTGCTGTCCCCATGTCCCCGTGTCCCTCCATGTCCCCATGTCCCGGTGCCACCCCCGTGTCCCCAGGTGTCCCAGTCGTCCCCAGGTGTCCCAGGTGTCCCAGGTGTCCCCAGCTGTCCCCAGGTGTCCCCAGGTGTCCCAGGTGTCCCCAGGTGTCCCCAGCTGTCCCCAGGTGTCCCAGGTGTCCCCAGGTGTCCCCAGATGTCCCAAATGTCCCCAGGTGTCCCTCACCGTCCCCGGGGCTCTCCATGGGGAAGTGCAGCAGCTCCTTGGCGGGTCAGTCCTGTGGCTGCTCGGGCTGCTGTCCCCATGTCCCCGTGTCCCTCCATGTCCCCAGCTGTCCCCAGGTGTCCCCAGGTGTCCCAGGTGTCCCCAAATGTCCCCAGGTGTCCCCAGGTGTCCCCAGCTGTCCCCAAATGTCCCCAGCTGTCCCCAGGTGTCCCAGGTGTCCCCGTGTCCCTCACCGTCCCCGGGGCTCTCCATGGGGAAGCGCAGCAGCTCCTTGGCGTAGTAGTCCTGCGGCTGCTCGGGCGGGCGCCGCCGGGCGCGCTGCCGCAGCAGCTCCCGGGTGCTGTTGTAGAGCGCCCGCACGTCCTCGGGCAGCGCGGCCGGGCCCGGGCCGGGCTCCGCGGGCGGCGCCGGTAACCGGAGCTTGCTCAGGATCTGGCCCCGCACGGCCTCGATGCGCTTGAGCCGCGCCGCCTCCAGGTCCAGCGTGCGGCAGGACGAGAGAGCCCGGCACGGCACGGCCAGCGCGGCCAGCAGCGCGGCCAGCAGCACCGGGACCCGCACCGGCACCGGGACCGGGACCCGCACCGGGACCCGCACCGGGAGGGACAGCGGCACCGGGACCCGCACCGACAGCCGCATCCCGGGACAGACCGGACACCGGGATAAAGCCTCTGGAGAGACCGGGATAAAGCCTCGGGAGGGACCGGACACGAGAAACCGGGAGGGACCGGGATAAAGCCTCGGGAAGGACAGAGATGAACCGGGATAAAGCCTCGGGAGGAACCGGGATAAAGCCTCGGGAGGGACCGGGATAAAGCCTCGGGAGGAACCGGGATAAAGCCTCGGGAGGGACCGGGATAAAGCCTCGGGAGGAACCGGGATAAACCCTCGGGAGGAACCGGGATAAAGCCTCTGGAGGGACCGGGAGGCTCCGGGATAAAGCCTCGGGAGGGACCGGACACGGGAAACCGGGACGCACCAGGATAAAGCCTCGGGAGGGATCGGTAGGGACCGGGATAAAGCCTCGGGAGGGACCGGGATAAAGCCTCTGGAAGGACAGAGATGAACCGGGATAAAGCCTCAGGAGGGACCGGGAGGCTCCGGGATAAAGCCTCGGGAGGGACCGGACACGGGAAACCGGGAGGGACCGGGATAAAGCCTCAGGAAGGACAGAGATGAACCGGGATAAACCCTCGGGAGGGACCGGACACGGGACACCGGGACGCACCGGGATAAAGCCTCGGGAGGGACCGGGATAAAGGACCGGGATGAACCGGGATAAAGCCTCAGGAGGGACCGGGATAAAGCCTCGGGATGGATTAAACCGGGACAGGGAGAGACCGGGAGAAATTCCCGGGAGCAGTTAAAGACACCGGGACCGGGATAAACCCCCGGAACGGGATAAACCCCCCGGGAACGGAATAAATCCCCTAAACCGGGACACGCCCCCTCAGAACAGGGGTAACCCCCCCAGAACCGGGATAAACTCCCCTAGAACCGGGATAAACTCCCGAAAACCGGGATAAACTCCCCAAAACCGGGATAAACTCCTCAGAACCGGGAGAAACTCCCGAAAACCGGGATAAACTCCCCAAAACCGGGAGAGCAGCCCGGAACCGGGACTTAACCCGGGACACCCCGCACGGAACCCGCCCGGATTTCCCCTCCCGGGCTCGGTTCCGCTCCCGACTGTCCCGGTGGTCCCGGTTGTGCCCCGGGTTGTCCCGTTTGTCGCGGCTGGTCCCGGTTGTCCCCTACCGGTCCCGCTTTGTCCCGGGTGGTCCCGATCCTTCCGGTCGTCCTCGGTGGTCCCGGTTTGTCCCGGGTGGTCCCGGTTTGTCCCGGTTTATCCTTTTTGTCCCTTGTTTGGCCGCTTTTTGCCCGATTTTGCCACTTTTGGCCCCGTTTCGCCGCGGGCCCCACCCAGGAAACGGGGCCGGGGGGGGGGAGGGGAAGGGGGGAGGGGAGGGGAAGGGAAACTGAGTCACGGCCCGGGGGGGGAGGGGGCGACGCTTCCGCGTCTGGGACATTTCCGGAGGGGGGAGGGGCGGGGGGACACCCGCGATGGGGGAGGGGCTCCAGGACCCCCCCAAAATTGTCACCTCCCCCCCAAATTGTCACCTCCCCTCCCCAAATTGTCACCTCCCCCCCCAAAAATTGTCCCCTCCCTCCCAAAATTGTCCCCTCCCCCCCCCAAAATTGTCCCAAATTGTCCCCTCCCCCCCAACCCCCCCTGAGCCACATTTGGTGACAAAAATTTTATTTGGGGACAAAGGGGAGGGGACAATTTTGGGGAGGTTCCTCCGGGATGCCACCAGGGTTGTCCCCTCCCCCCAAAGTTTGGGGACCCTCCCCAAGTGTCACCTCCTGTCCTGGTGTCCCCAAGTGTCACCTCCTGGCCCCCCCAGGTGCCACCCCAAGGTGACCCCGGTGTCCCCAGGGTGTCCCCAGGGTGTCATCCCAGGTCACCCTGTCCCCAGTGCCACCCCGGTGTCCCCAATGGTGTCCCCAACAATGTCCCCAATGTCACCGTGCCACCCCGGTGTCCCCAGTGACACCATGCTACCCCAGTGTCCCCAGTGGTGTCCCCAGTGCCACCTTGGTGTCCCCAATGATGTCCCTGATGTCACCGTGCCACCCCAGTGTCCCCAGTGGTGTCCCCAGTGCCACCTTGGTGTCCCCAACCCCTGTCCCCAGTGCCACCATGCCACCCCAGTGTGCCAAATGGTGTCCCCAGTGTCACTGTGCCACCCCGGTGTCCCCAGTGCCACCCCCAATGATGTCCCCAGTGTCCCCAGTGCCACCTCAGTGTCCCCAGTGTCACAGTGCCACCCCAAACCGCGCCATGTGCCGCGGCAGGACGCCGAGGCGCAGCCGCACAGTGCCGGTGTCCCCAATGGTGTCCCCATCACCCCAATGTCCCCAATGGTGTCATACTGTCCCCAATGGTGTCGCCATCACCCCAATGATGTCCCCAATATCCCCATCACCCCAAAGGTGTCCCCAGTGTCACAGTGCCACCCCGAAGCGCGCCATGTGCCGCGGCAGGACGCCGAGGCGCAGCTGCACGGTGCCAGTGTCCCCAATGGTGTCCCCATCACCCCAGTGATGTCCCCAATGGTGCCCCCAATGTCCCAGTGCCACCCCGATGTCCCCAATGTCACAGTGCCACCCCAATGTCACAGTGCCACCCTGATGTCCCCAATGTCACAGTGCCACCCCGAACCGTGCCATGTGCCGCGGCAGGACGCCGAGGCGCAGCCGCATGGTGCCGGCAGCCTCGGTGCCCCCATTACCCCAATGGTGTCATACTGTCCCCAATGGTGTCCCCATCACCCCAATGGTGTCCCCAATGGTGTCCCCAATGGTGTCCCCAGTGTCCCCAGTGTCACAGTGCCACCCTGAAGCGTGCCATGTGCCGTGGCAGGACGCCGAGGCGCAGCCGCACGGTGCTGGTGTCCCCATTACCTCAATGTCCCCATCACCCCAATGGTGTCCCCAATGTCCCCAATGGTGTCCCCAATGGTGTCCCCAATGTCACAGTGCCACCCCGAACTTGGCCATGTGCCGCGGCAGGACGCCGAGGCGCAGCCGCACGGTGCCAATGTTCCTGATGGTTTCTCCACTAACCCAATGTCCCAAATGATGTCCCCAATGTCCCCATCACCCCAAAGGTGTTCCCAATGTCCCCAGTGCCACCCCAGTGTCCCCAGTGTCACAGTGCCACCCCAAACCGTGCCATGTGCCGCGGCAGGACGCCGAGGCGCAGCCGCACGGTGCCGGCGGCCTCGGTGCGCAGGCGGAAGCGCTCGGCGGCGCCGGCGGCCGCCCCGGCGGGGTCGCGCAGCTCGGGGGCGCCGGGGCCCAGCAGGCGCTGGCGCCGCGTCCCCCGCGGGCGCCAGGTGACGCAGGTGACGCGGTGGCAGCCGGGCGCGCTGGGCACCGCGCACACGCCGTAGCCCGCCAGGCCCCGCCGGCCCCACGCGTCCACGTGCCACACCTCCAGCAGCAGCTTGGGCCAGCCTGGGGACAGGGGGACATCAGTGGGGACATCAGTGGGGACACTGGGGACATCAGTGGGGACATCAGTGGGGACACTGGGGACATCAGTGGGGACATCAGTGGGGACACTGGGGGGACACTGGGGACATTGGGGACATTGGGGGGATTGGGGACATTGGGGGGACTGGGGACATTGG